TTTTAGTTCCCTGGACTGTAAGCAGTAGGTACAATGAGAATGCTGTCTGTGAGGGAAGGACTTGGGTTTGAGGACTTCCGAAGCCCTCATGCAGCAAGACACACCCCCACCACCCCCAATGTTTTCTGCCAGGTGAGAGTATGATATGCTTTTCTCTGAGCATCCACACTGCCAATGCCCTTGGTCAGAAACTACCCGTTGGCTACAGTAATGCTCAACCGGCCACGAGATAACTCTTCCTCAGGTGACAGAACTTTAATGGACTTGACCACAACAAAATAACCCTGGTTTTAGATTTGCCTGTGGGCCTCAGTAAATATTTCATAGAGTGCTCGCTCCCCTTCTCCTCCCCGACTGTTAACTGAAGCTATGTGTAAATCACAGACCTGACCCAATTACCCCACCCCCCCAGTCCATCTTCCCCTCTGATGACAGGCTGAATGGACTACAGGCTCCTCCCAGGTGCTGCAATGGACCTCAAGTTTCTTATCTTGGAAACCATATAATAACAATCAATAGCTCATAGCCTTTTGTGTTTATGTGTGAAGATGAGATGAGATTGCATGTGTGTGAATTTTTAGGTATAGCCATCTTGGGTAGGTAGTTCCTCACAGGGTAACGCAGGACACCAGAGCGGGACTCAGCTTGGAAGACAGATTGCCTAGCTTCTGGTTGCTCTCATGCTAGGGTGAATCACCCTTGACTTGTCTGTGCCTCCGGGTATTATTCTGGAAACTTTGTGAGAGAATCCCAGATGGTTGGGACATTATATAGGATGTAGTAGACCAGGGCTTCTAGCAGGATGAAGGACAAAGATGATCCGTGAAGGGCTGTTAGTGCTTTCAGGTGGCTGGGGAAGTCCAGGCCCCAAACTCCGTGATGTCTGGAAGAACACGAATGCACTGGATCGAGAGGAGACCAAGACATAGTAGCTGGACCAGTCGAGAGGGACTCGGGAATCACTGAATGAATAAGAGAAGTCACACGCCCCCGGCCCTGTCCTGGAAAAGCAGCTCGTTGAGCAGGGCAGGATCTGGAACCAGGCCAGCCTTATGTGGTTGCCTTTAAAAAGAAACAAAACAAAGACTGACTTCCGACCAGCTGACCCTAAGCCTCTAAGCCTAGCAGCTCCCTACTGGGATCTTTCAGACTGCAGGGGAGTCTGGCTAGGTGCCAGGACTGGCCTTTTGTGAGCCCAGGCAAACCAATAACTCGTTCCCCATGAACACCGTGGGCACAGTCAGGTCCTACTCTCCTCCTCCGGGGCAGCTCTGCGGATCCTCCTGCAGCTAAAATGTCCTTGCCTGGAGGGTAGCGAACAAGGGGCTGAGCGGCACTCCCTGAAGGCTCTTCTCCCACCACACCCCTCCCCCTAGGTCTTCCACACACCTGCATTTGGGTACCAGAGTCACAGGCGGTATTTCTTAGCACCTTTCTCTGCGATCAGGTCAGTGTCAAGTATAAGGAAGGAGTGATGATCGCTATTGTCTGTGATGGCACCAACACTGTTTTTTCTCCCTTGTCCCAGGCCTGGCTTCAACGTGACTATGGTAAGAAGATGCCCTCCAGCAGGCTGTGTTTGCAGACTACATGGAGCCTCACGTGGGGATTCTCTGAGCCCTGTGGATTTACAGTAAGATGCAGTTGCCTAGGGAGTAATGCTGCACAGATTTTGACTCTGGAGTAACATACCTGGCTGGCCTTGGGATGCTACAAATGGCCTACTGGATTCTTGGAGTCTGGATGCCCACCGGGGACAAGGACCATAGCTGTGAAGACTGGATCTCTACCCCTGACTCAATGAGAATATTTACTCTGATCTCTCGGTCAACCTGGAGCTCTCTGTAAAATGTAAGTCCCCAAGACCTATCTCCTTTTGATATAGTGTTTGTGTTTTAGGCCAGGCTGTCCTGGCTGGTAGTTGAGAGGTCTTTGTTGATGTAGCTATTAGGAAAAGATCTGCTGTTTTCTGTGTCCATTTATGTATCGGGTGTGATTCTGGGAACCTATGGGAGAAAGACAGAAAGTAAGTCTTGTTTTAACCCCAGCAGGCGGATCTCTGTGAGTTTGAGGCCAGCCTGGAGAGCTAGCTTCAGGACCACCAGGGCCGATCCACAATGAAAACAGAAGAAAACAACAACCCAGTAATAATAATAATAATAATAATAATAATAATAATAATAATAA